CATTCACATATCATATATGCTGTGTTGATTGATTTACAGCCTCTTAGGCTGGTACATGCATGACCTCTGGAGGAAGCCATGAGGTCCAATTTGGGCTTTTACATGAAGAATTAAAAGCCAGCAAGCAACTCTTACTGGCAGAGTGATTCTGCCTTTTTGTTATAATGTACCATAACATCATTGGCTCCTCTTCCAGCACAAAGTTTGTTCAAAGATCAGAAGAGATTCTTAGTGTTGTCTTTAGCATCCAGAAAATCTAAGAAGAAGCCTAATCTGATCTAGTATCTGCTGCTCCTGACTCTTGCCACAGAAAGGTATGTATACACCTGAAGCTTCCAGCACTATAATGTTCAGGTGGCATTTATAGTATAAATTATGTATGAGTGGAACGAAGGGTATTTTAACAGCAGATAGCTGAAAAGCATTGCAATGTACTCCGAATCCAGCAGCATTGCCTGGAGCTACTCTGAGGCCTCTTTCTAAACTCAGGCATTAGCACAAAGCACACCTCTGACTGCAGGCATTTAAAGATCAACAGGGGCCAAAAAAGCTTTTAAGATCCAATGAAACCAGGAAAACAACCATGTTCCCTTTCAGTGTCAGGTTAGATTGCCATCTTATGAGTGCAGCTATTCCAGGTACAGAGTGCTTAGTGGTTTGGGTCTTGTTGTGTGGAGAAAGTGTTCCACAGCAAACATCTGTTTCTTTCACCTGCAAACCACAATGTGCTGTGAAAAAGCAGGACTGTAGCCACAGAGACCCAAGGGGGTGTGGGAAATCTGGCTCAGTGGGATGAGCATGGTTTTCTGAAACATGGTATCAAAAGAGCACTTAAAAAGGAGAGGATGCTTTTAAAGCACATGATACACCACAAATTGGGCAGATTAGGTTGCTTTTAAGCTTAAAGTTTTTACAGGATGTTCTCAGTACTGTCATAATAGTAATATTGGAGTTTTGCATCAGGACAACATGAGGGTATTTTTTTCTTTTTTTTTTTCTTTTTTTTTTTTTTTTTCAGGTACTGTAATATTGTCATTGCTTTCCAAAGTACAATTAATTATTATCAGTTGGGGAAAAAAACATTGTACAGAGCACATGGCATATATTTATACACTGGGTACAGCTGACATTTTTCTTTTCCATTTGTCAGTGTCATTGCTACATAAGGGACCTTGGGGTTATGGCTGATCACAGGATGAACAAGAGCCACCAATGCGATGCTGTAGTCAACAAAGCTAATAGCATACTGGGATGTACTAGCCGATGCATCGTGAGCAGGACTAAGGAAGTGATACTTCCAGTTTACTCCATGCTGGTGAGACCCCAGCTGGAGTACTGTGTCCAGTTCTGGGTGCCAGACTTCAAAAAAGACGTGGAGCACCTTGAAAGGGTCCAGAGAAGGGCCACAAGAATGATTAAGGGTCTGGAGGACAAACCTTATGAGGAAAGACTAAGGGATTTGGGACTGTTCAGCCTGGGGAAGAAAAAACTGAGGGGAGACTTGGTGGTCATCTATAAGTATGTAAGGGGTGAATATCAGGAGCTGGGGAAAAAAAACATTCACTAGGGCACCCCAGGGCAGGGCAAGGAGCAATGGCCATAAACTGTGTTAGTGGATAGGTTCAGGTTGGATGTAAGGAAGAACTTCTTTATGGTAAGGGTGACCAGAATCTGGAATAGACTTCCCAAGGAGGTGGTGCAGTCCCCAACCTTGGAAATCTTTAAGAGGAGAGTGGACAGACACCTTGCTGGGACCATTTGATCTCAAGACCATTCCTGCCCAGAGCAGGGGAGTTGGACTCAATGATCTTTCAGGGTCCCTTCCAGCCCTTAATTTCTATGATTCTGTTTTACAATTTAAATTCATATTTCATGTGCATGGGTACTGTCATCAGGCCAAATTCTTAACTAGCAAAAGTATCATTGCCCAGTTAAAGTAAATAGAGTTATGATTATTTAATCCAGTCAAGGATGTGACCCCTTAATTCTTTCTGGGGGAAAAAATGTCATTGTAGAAACAGCTGACCCATTAACAGAGTTGTGTTGACAACCACTGAGGATTTCACCCAAAAGTTATTGTAAATTTGATCTGTTTGTTGGGGGTCCCAAGCCTTGTAGGAGTTGTGCTTCTTTGAGGTGTAATGTCCATTGGTTTTGATAAATTCTGTGACAGACGTTGTGTTGTTTTTATTTATCAAGTGAATCATGAGGCATAGCACTGTACCCCCCACAGGTTCTCTGCTCTGCTGCTGTGAGAGTACTGGGCAAAGTTACCATTTTATTAATTAAAATTGTCTCAAAGCCAACAAGTTCAAAATCAAGAAGGAGGGAAAGAAGAAAGAAACAGACAGAAGCTCTCAGGGGTGGGGCAGAGGATTACAAATTATCCAAATGTAATGGAACAGCAGAACGAGATTTTTAAAAAAGAAATTACTATTGAAAACAAAGAGAGCAGTCCAGGACCACCTGGTTAGCATCACAGGACCTTAAAAAAGGTGCTGGAGGAAATAAAGATAGAGGAATTAAAACTTGCTAGTCCCAGTGCACACACTAAGAAAATTTCTAAAAACCTTGACCATTTGCTGAATAATGGAATGACTGCAGGTGAGTAACAGGCGGTCTGGATTCACAAAAGGATAGTCAAGCCTCAAAAAGGAGGACCAACATGATATAAGCTACAAGAATATCATTATTGTGCCAAAAAATAGAGGGGCCCATTCTGTTTCTGAAGCGTGGGAAAAGGTAGCTCAGTAGCCCTCTTCATACATCAGGACTGAATGCCACAATTCCCTGGTATCCTTGGCTCCAATCCTAGATGGGTTAATGTAAACTTTCTTCTTTTCATTCTGCTGCTTCCACCATCTTCCCCAGTGATCTTGCGCAGGCTTGGGTCCTGGCTTCACCAGTCTACCATTGGAGATTATAATACTTAGCTATTCTCCAAGGGTGCTTTGAGGCAATGTTTATTGCTGCTTATAAAGTACTTTGAGCTCCTTGAATGGAAACTGGTGGGACAGCAAACCACAGTTTTCTGGCATGCATTTTCAAACGAATTATGGGTCAGCCATATAACATCGGCAGACTCCTAATGTAAGCCTTTACAGTAAGAAAATGCCAAGAGATGCTTTGACACCAGGGGATATAATAACATATAACATCTGCAAACTCCTGATGTAAGCCTTTACAGTAAGGAAATGCCAAGAGATGCTTTGACATCCAAGCAGTTTGGGATCCAGGGAGAATCAAGTCCCAAACTGAACATTATTGTCATTTTAAATCAATGGCCATTGATCAAAAAGAGTACACTTGTGTTGACAGAAATTGCTAAGTGATCTAATAGGGTCATTCTTCATAACAGGATGGCTTATGTCAGGTGCATAGAAATGTTAGCAGCTGAATGATGACAGTTGTGGCTGGGAGTTCCAAGGCCCCGTTTCTCTGAATCTCCCATTTGCTACTTTATAAAGTACCTTAAGTGATCATTAAGGACCTGGTCCCAAAAGTCCCACTTAAAACAACTTCCATGGACCTTCTGTGGCTAGCTAGGGTCTGCTAGATCAGGACTATAGTGAGACAGCTGCCAAAGATACGTTATTGAACACCAGCTTATATCCTAGCCAGATGCAAAGATAGAATGAGCAGGGATAAGATATGGAGCATATAGAAGAGAGCATTGCTGTCATGAACCTACAGTGCTTGAGGGATTCATGGGATATCATTAATGTTTTCTTGAGCTCGTCTTACTGATATGGCATGTGTAGTCTCTATGTATAGGTACCACCAAGCTGTATTTAGCCTTGTCATTATTATGTCTTCATGAATTGTTATATTTGATATAAGTGTAATTTTGTGGGCAGTGATTAACTTAAGTGTTCCTTGCCCATTCACAGGTGGAAGAGGTAATCACTGAGAATTAGGATTTGACATGAGTTTGTTTACTTATCTCCCTTATAAACATGCTTTGAGGCACATGAGCCTTCTAGACAACTATGTGTTTACATTTCAAAGGAAGAGACCCATAAGAATACCACCTGGAAGGATAGTTCCCACGATGGGAAAATTAAGTGAGAGACAGTAACTTTAGGATACTGGATTAGTATTTTTCATGTCTGAAAGGATGCAGATAGTCTCCTGACCTTAATTAGAGCAGGAAAGATTTGTTAGTCTGGTAAGCATGTGTCTTTGAGGAGCAGCAAGTTATATGCCTAGTGTGGACTCCCCAAGAATCCAGTGGGTGATGTATAAAAGTGGTGAGATAAGAAACCAAACTTAAGCTTTGCCTTGAGAGCAAGTTGTGATCTTTAGTTTTTTTCCACCTATAGGGAAGCACTGAGGCCCCCAGCCAGCCAGCTGAGTAAAGCAGGCTGACAGGGAGCTTGAGGAGGCCCTGGCAGAAAGGTGAGAGGCAGAAGCTGCTTTCTAATCTGTTGAGCTGGATAGGAGCTGAAGTCTTAGGTTTAAGAGGCAGGGGAAGATCAGATTATTGTTCTGACATTTTCTTTTGTTTTTTTTCTTATATCTTTGTATCTCAACATATAGTTACTGATTTCTGATCTTTACTTTCATTCTCATAATACAACTTTTTATCATCTTTTTTACCCACTTACCATCCGTGCTATTTGATTCCAGAGCATCTAACCATACAGGGAGGCCTCTTCCACAGAAGAAGGAAATCCATCTTTTCTGAGGGGATGACTGGACAAGGGCATGATTCTTCTAGCTGGCAAAATCCCCTCTTCTAAGAGCTGGCGTGACGTAGGGGAGGCAGGTAGAGCTGAGATTCTAGAGGTCGGGGAGGTGACCTTTGAAGCATCTCAGTCTGCTCTCAGTGGTCAAGCTGCAGATAGCAAAGATTGGAGCCAGAGGTCTGAAAACACCTCAAAAGTGTGTCTCAAAGGCCACATCTGGGGCCAGGGCATGTCACAATTATATAGCAGTGTACTAGAACAGTGTAGATTAGAATAAGTAATCTCTAATGACATTCTTTCTCACTCTTTCAGAGGCCAAGGTCAAGGATGATATGAATAATTACATCAGCCAATATTACAATGAGCCCAGTAGTGGTAAGTTTCCTTTAAAGATTTAGATTAACAGTGAATTTCAGAGCCTCATTTCTGATTGCTGAATTGCATTGCTTGGTGCAGAACAAGCAAGCATGAGCAGTTAATAGATCCATTGTGAAATTAAACCAATCTTTATGAATGTCCTATCCTTTCCATGAAAGTTTTTGTCAAGATGAAACTCTCAAGGATAAAAGGCTTGATGGCACTCCTCCCACAGAAGTCAATTATAATGGTTTAAAAGATCCAGGTGTGTGATTTTACTGGAGTAAGACAGAGTGGTTCAAATGGGCTTAGAAAAGAAAACTGTGGAAAAGTAAGTGAATGGAAAGCAAATTGGAACATAACTTAGACAAGCCTCATGCTGGGGACCTTTTAGAAAGGTTAAACTGAGTGAAGGAAGGATAAGAAAACTCAATGCCAGACAAAACTGACATGTGAGTAGTGGCACTAGGTCAAACTCCAAATGGATTTCTATATCTTAAGGATTGTATTGTAACCATTAAGAGGGTCATAGGATCTGAGTTTGAAATAGGCACATACTCTACCACATTTTATACATGAGTACCCAGTATGATAGATTTTAAAAGCTATGAAATAAAGCAGATATTCAAAGCATCATAGGTGACTCTGTGCAAAGTTTGTTAATAAAAAATATGGGTTTTGTGTGGTATTTTTACCTTTCACTTTAAAAATGTACTCCCAGCTATGTGGTTGGGTTTTTTTTTTTTAAAAAAGGGAATATTTCAGTTCACAGTCATCTTCCCATATCTTTGTATTCAAAGACTTCATAACAAGATGCTTGTGAAAAGGAGTGTTTGGATGCACATATCATTTCTGTGATTATAACTACTTATTGCATGATTTTATGTGAAGATGTTCTCTCTACAATATCTCTACGTGGTTCAAAGTAAGGCCTTTTTATGATATATGATCTTATTATCTTTCCCTTCAGACAGTGGAGTTCCTGAGGCAGCTATTTGTGTCATTACCACAGCAGCCATAGATGTACACCACCCAAACATATCTTCTGACCTGTTCACAGTGGATGTGCCAATGAAGATAGGAAGTACTGGAACTTCCACTAGTGCCACTTCAGGCAGTGTCTCCAGATCCACAGACAGCTCTGTAACTAGAGCCCAGAGTGACAGCAGCCAAACCTTTGGCTCCTCCACAGACTGCAGTACAACCCGGGAGGAGTCTTCTGAGTATTGCCCCTTAGAGAGGACGGGAAACACAAGACATGACCAAATCGATCCAAGGCAGAGGGTCAACAATGCAGTAGTTCAGGAACTGTTATCATCCTTATCAGAGGATTCATGCTTAACACAAAAAGGATTGGATCCAGTCAACCTCAAACTACCGACTCCAGCAGGTTCCACTACAGCCAGCCCCGAGCTGGAGCACAGAGTGAACATTTACAACAGGAAGAACCAAGAGAGCTTTGACGTGTTCCAGATTAAACCAGCTATCCGCTTTCAGCAGAATGCCCCAGTGATCGACGACAAGTACAAATCTTTGGAATCCAAAGAGCCAAAGTTAAACAGGGTCCCAGATTCATAGTTCTCCACCATGGTGGGGAAAAACAGGAGACGTTCTAAGCTTTAATGGTGCGCTCAGAAGTACCACTGGCTGGATAGCTTGCTGCTTGCGTGGTTTGAATTAACTGAATATTCATAAATGCATGAGTTCTGAGAGCCAGCCGAAAACCATGACATTTCCAGGTTCCGAGGTCCTCGGGCTCAGCCCTGACAAGAGAGGAAACATTCTGTATTACAGAACAATGACCTCAAAGGTGTACAGATTCTTAATCTTTGTTTTGCAAGGGTTTGTTTTTTTTCTAAAATAAACATTTTTTTATGGAATTCTGAACAACTTCTGTCAGGTCAGGCTTCAGCAGGGTATGATACTCATAAATGTAAACTTGTTCTAAAATTTCTTACCGCCCCTTTGTACGTGACGACAGTTGTAAATCCCTTTGTACAAATACTGGCAATTCTTTTTCTTCTTCCCCAAAACTTTTCTCAAAGAGCACTTTGGGCAATGCAGATTAAAGAAAACAAAATATCTGATCAGTTTTTATTTTTGCATGAACTCTTTAAAAAACTTATTTTGGAAAAAAAAAATCTGATTTTTCACCTCCAAGCCAATGTGGTGAGAGAACAATGGACATTTTGCAAATTCAATTTTAATTAAAAAAAACCAAGCAAACAAACTAAATGTTTGTTCTATGCTTTTGTTCACTGATGTTAGGGGCTGGGCTATAGGCATAATGAAATACTGCAATTAGCTTCCACTTTGGGGGAAATATGTTAGTCTCATTTATTATGTGCCACAGAGTTTGTCTACACAGCTTGCACATAATATATTGAAATGACTGGATTCAGACAAAAGCCTTTTCTGATCTCAATAACCTTAGGTTTTTTTTAACTCAACAACCTTAGTCTGAAGTGTCCAAATGTAAGGGTTAACTCTTAAGGTTTTCCTAGCTCTGGCCATGGATTTTACAATTCAGCATGACAGGAACGTGCTTATGCAGCTTGTGTGCAGGGGTAAGTTGCACTGGGGTGATCCTCTGAGAGCCAGTGATGTCCTCTGTCTGGGGCACACAGGGACCCCAGTACAGCCTGTCACATGGGCTACTGGGTATATTCATCTTTTTTATTTTTAT